CATCATATTTAAATGACTCAAAAATCCAAAACAAATTCTCTGCAAATGTCTACCTATAATAACTTTCTACCTCCTTGAAAATTATTGAATTTTAATTAAAAACAAAAATGTTTTCGTGATGTATTATCTTAATTTCAGAAACTATATATATATAGCCAAAATATACAGTTACTATAGCTTAGTATAGCAGGTGATAGCTGTGGAATACTAGAGACAAGAAACAAGTTGTACTTTATGCAGATTTTAGTAAACAATTTTAGATTTCACTTCTGAGATCATCTATGTTACAAAGCTTGCTGTTATAGTCTATGTTACAAAAGCTTGCTGTTATAGTCTATGTTACAAAAGCTTGCTGTTATAGTCTATGTTACAAAAGCTTGCTGTTATAGTCTATGTTACAAAAGCTTGCTGTTATAGTCTATGTTACAAAAGCTTGCTGTTATAGTCAACAACACAGTTAAAAAATTGGTTTCCATATTCTAAATGATCAGAGCTTGTAACTTTCTCAATGAGCATTGAATTTTGAGAGCAATGTCTCAGTTGCTTGTTTACTAAAGATTCTGAGTTAAGATTGTTGCTTTAACACAAGTTCTTCAACTTGATAGAAGACAGCATAAATCTTTGTTGTGACTAATATTGGTAAAAATAGAAGAGATTTTTTGAATTTCTGGATTTCAGTCGTAAAGCTTTCCTTTAGCTTTGCTCAAAAACATGAAGGAACAACTTCTTTGAAATGTTTTAAAGATTCAATCCAACCAAAGAATTCATAGGCTTTTTTAGCCATTCTGGAGCACAGGCTTTTTTAGCCATTCTGGAGCTGAATGTGAAAATAAGATGGACATTTTTGGCTCCAGGTCACAAGTCTGAAAGATTTTTGAAAAAATGATTATCGACTTCAGAAAAGGATGGACTTTGTCTGAATAACATCTAAAATGAGCATTGAATTTTTCATATTGATCAACATTGAAATGATTACACTTGTAAAATTTTTTGCTTAGTTTAAATCTGAGCCATTTGCAACAAACTCGGATTATCTTTCTTTTAACGTGTGGAATGATCTTAGAGATCCACATTCAGATAGATTGTTGGTATTGACATTGCACTAGTTGAAAGGATACTTGCTTGAATGGGGTTGAGTTTCACAAATAATATTAGCGACTTTACGAAATTAAAACGACAACTGCAACCGCAACGTTCAAACACAAAAAATTGCTAATGCGCATGTGTAAGCTTAGAGTAAGTCGTAATTCGCGTTTCAAAGTTCTAGGCCGGACGTTAAAATTAAAGTTTTAGCGTTGTGTTAAAAACGTGAAATGATTATGAAAACGTTAACATTTTTTCGCAATATACTTTGTCACTAAGTTTTTTTTTTGTTTTGATTTTTGTGGTGAACTTTATATCGATATAAGCTGATATATCAGCTGTGTGTGTGTGTAATTCAATGGTAAGAGCTTCGGAGTATTAAGTGATGTTTGCGTGGTTATTGATTAAAGTTGTTTTAAATTGAAAATTATTGTTATTATGTTTATATAAACTTTATAATTTGTTTTTTATTAATATTAGATTTATTAACATTAGATTTATTAACATCGTAAAGTAATAACAGCTCTTCGTCGTTTATTATCTTATCAGAATGAGAAATGAGTAACTGAGTGCGAACCTGAGATAATGTTGACATGTTATTTAAAAAAAATAATTTAAACTTCGTTCTTTTATTGAAATTCCACATCGAATTGGTTTCTTACTTTAAAATTATAAACATAATTGTACAAAAAATCATGCAGCAAAATATACAGAATATACAAAGGCTTTTCGTACCGCGACGTTTTCATAGTAACTTTTGTAACAATATTTTACGAAAAACGGCTACGACAACGACTACTTATAAAATCATAACTTTTACGTTCTGGTTGCAGCTAGCGTTTCGATTTTGTAAAGTCACTATTGTAAAATGTTACAACGCGCAATTGAATAATATTCATTAATGCTTCGACAATCTTGTATGTTTTAAGTAATTTTTAACTATGGCAGCAACGAGCTGATATTTAACACCTGTATTTTCTTACTCATGTCAGTTATTTTAATAACAGCGAAATTAATTTTCAAAAATGATCCTCAAACATTCTAAGTTTAAAAAAAAAAAGTTGTAGCTATAATCTCTGTCTAACAGCACCTTGTTAGAAAAATTCTCAAAATTTTTTGCAGTAAAAAACATGTTTTTGTTCCTCAGTTTTTACCTTTGCAGTTTTAAAATTGACAATTAAATGCTGAAGGAAATTTTACAATGTTTTTCCCCTAGCATTAAATTTGTCCTTGAAACCTTTTTTAACTAGTTGAGTTACTATAGCTTTGTTGAGATTTGAAGCTAGTTTTCTCATTCACGTGTTAAATAGTTTAGTGTTAATCAAGTTTAACAATATTTACGCTTTAAGTATTTGACTTTTTGAATTTAGTGCAGGTTGTGGAGATAATATAACATATTATGATCTCAAAATATCTTTCAAGGTGGCATTTAATAATGTGTAATAAAATAAAAGTAATAATAAGTAAAAATGGAAACAACTTTTTTCACTGCTAAATATTATTGAACTTTAGAAATTTTAAGTTATAAAAAATGTATAATTACCTGGTTTTACTGTCCTTCTTCAATTTGAGGGGGTTACAAATTTTATATAGTGGTACTCTTTAAACGACAAGAGATAATACTATGAAACTTAAATTTTATCGATGAATGTGAGTCTAGCTGAGAATATGCAAGCAATATGTTTTATCAAATAGCACAAGTGTGATATCATATAAATAAAATTGGTTAATGAAATAAATTAAAAATTAATCAGATTTTCTAAACTTTTTTTGTAATTACAATAATCTGACGGTGGCTGATTATTTTTTTTTTAAACTTGACATAAACTAATAGTAAAAACCAACAGTAAACTTAATGAATCGAATCCCCTTAAATGGAGGAGAATTATAAACTTTGCTTGATCACCGTTTCTAAACTCTAAGAGTTTTTTTAATAAAATTCAAAAACAATAAAACAGCATTAGTCAACAATAACAAAACATATTTTTTTTTTACAAAAATAATATTTTTTTTGACGGGGGTCAACAGGGGATTTTATTTGGGCAATTTTTTCCATAAGTTCTGATTACCGCACTTGTTTGTAAACTATCTTCATTTAACATCATCATAAAAATAAAAATGTTTTGAGTTTATTTCATGCTAAGAAGTTAATCATTAGAAAACCAAAAATCCAAAATTCACCATTAAAATTGCGAAAATCTAGCACAAAATTAAGAGATTTAAAATAAAACCTCTAAATGTGCTCATAAAGTCTATATAATGCTTCAATAGAAAATAATTTTATACTTTCAGATGAGGTTGATCTTGAATTAAACAGGCTTGTACAAATCTGTACACTTTAGTCCAAGTCTGTACAACTCAGTTCATTTAGCTGTATAGGTTCGTACAAATAAATTATAGTGTATTTATATATAAATATATATATATATATATATATATATATATATATATATATATATATATATATATATATATATATATATATATATATATATATATATATATATATATATATATATATATATATATATATATATATATATATATATATATATATATATATATATATATATGTATATATATATATATATATATATATATATATATATATATATATATATATATATATATATATATTATATATATATATATATATATATCTATATATATATATATATATATATATATATATATATATATATATATATATATATATATATATATATATATATATATATATATATATATATATATATATATATATATATATATATATATATATATATATATATATATATAGAAAGAGAAGAACGAAACTCAACACGAGTTATTAATGCACGCTATGCATTCGCAAGCGAAATAAACGGAATTTCAAATGAAAATTTTATTTATTTGGATGAAACTGGATTTAATGTGCACACTAACAGCACATATGGTTATTTGCTAAGAGATACGCCAGCAATTTTACATTCACCTGCAAACCGTGGTAAGAGTGTTAGTTTTACTTGTGCTGTTTCAACAATGGGAGTGCTTGCTTATGAAAAAAAAAAAAGAGGCTGGAATGAAGATTCATTTTGTACTTTCATAACTACAATGATTGCACCAGCGATTAAGAATGAAAATGTGGAAGCGCCGGTGCTTGTTACGGACCATTGTAAATTCCACTGGAATCTTTCTGTTAGGCAAACACTAGCCTCTGATGTTCTAGCTATTAAGTATCTGCCAGCATACACTATTAAGTATCTGCACAGCATACACTGCCACAGCTTAATCTGATAAAAGAACTTTTTTCTTCTTTAAAACATACTTACAAACAGGGAGAAAGGCCTCGAAATACAGATGGGGTAATCAGGAAACTCAAAAATATTATGGATACTACACAGTTTAAGTTAATTTCATTTTACAACCATATGCGTAGTTACATAAATCCAGCACTGGCTCTGCAACCATTTCTTAAATAAATAACAATGAAAACAACCTAATTTTTATTTTAAATATATCTATATAAAAATCTAAAAGCGTATTTATTGTTTAAATTATATTAGAGATTTTACATGTGGTTCACCCGCATATAAACGCGCATTAAGAATGAATAAACACGCATATAAAAATGAATAAATGCACATATAAGAATGAATAAACACGCATATAAAAATCTATAGACGCGCATATAAGAATAAATAACTTTGTAAAAACAAGGATTTTATATGACTTATTTAGTCATCATTGAGTTAATGAGCGTATTGTTTGGGTGATGCGATAGGCAAATTACTTAAAAAAAATTACTCCAGTATTTATTCAAACTATTTAATGATCAGTAAAGAATAAATCTTAAGTAAAACAAGTTTTCTATTATAAAGTAATATAAGACTGAAAAGATGTTATTGCTTAATAAGTGAAAATAATAAATTACATACCAAATAGGTGTATTTTCGAACAAACATTTTCTATTTTGATTATTTTTGTAAATATAATTTTAACTATAACTATTTTAGTTAAAAAATGTTAATACAAATTTTATTCAGCAACGTAATTTTAATGTTTCATGTGCATACATCTATGTATATTTAATAATTGTTTGACAGTGTTGTTATCAAAATATAGAGGGTTGTTTTGGACCTGTTATAGTAAATTAAAATTGCGGTTCATTAATACAAAGGCTAAATTATTAATGAAAAAACTTGAAAAAGTCTATAAAATTAACAAAAATTGTAATATTTCATAGAAGAAAAATAGATAAGTGTTTTTACTTATTTATAATTGCTCTGTTATTTTAGAACATTGAGCATTCTATTTGTAGAATACACTAACATAAATTATATAAATATAAATATATAAACGTGCAAAAATATTAATGCACTCATAAGTTGTTGAGAGTTAGTAACGAAATACATAACGTTTTAATTTGTAAGAGTGCGTTTAGGTGGATCGTATGAAAACGTAAGAGATAGAGTATCAGTGCATTATGATTGTTTATATAATATTCGTTAAAATATCTCAGGAAAAAAAGTTTTATAGAGTTTTCTATAAACTTTTGAAACATATGGCCTATAGAAGGTCTCTAGAATTTCTAAAGAATGTCTATTAATTTCTATAGAAATAGCTATAAATCTTTTTTTCTATTAAAAAAAAAAACAAAAAAAAACTTCAATAGAAATTTTTATAGCAGTTAACAGAAACTCTATAGAAATTTTATATAATTCTATAGAAATTCTATAGGCCATATGTTTCAAAAGTTCTATGTTCTATAAATCTTTTTTTCCTTGGTTATATATGTCATTATAATAAATCTTAAAACAAATGTAATAAGAGTTGGTAGTTATATGTTTAAATAATAAAAATCAACAGCTGGTACGAATATCAAACTCTGGGGGAAAGTTTCCCTGGTGTAGAATAACTTATTTTAAATTAAACGGTTTTTATTTATTTTTATAATTAACTGTATTTTAAAATAAAAATGTTATCGTTCCATGCTTGCAGTATTTGCTGAGCAGACAGGCATTATTATTTTTTAATTTGCTTTATTTATGAGTTTATATATATATATATATATATATATATATATATATATATATATATATATATATATATATATATATATATATATATATATATATATATATATATATATATATATATATATATATATATATATATATATATATATATATATATATATATATATATATATATATATATATATATATATATATATGTATATATATATATATATATATATATATATATATATATATATATATATATACATATATATATATATATATATATATATATATATATATATATATATATATATATATATATATATATATATATATACTTATATATATATATATATATATATATATATATATACTTATATATATATATATATATATATATATATATATATATATATATATATATATATATATATATATATATATATATATTTAATTACTTTTTATTGTTTTTTTGATTAAATACTATTAATATTTTGTTAATAATTAGTACCAGCCACTTTAAATATATAACAATACTCATTTAAAAAAATTATATCCATTTATTTATAACTTTATTTTAAATTCTTTGAAAATTGTTAAATTTCACATCGCTCAAGTATTTTAAAACAGCTGACTAACAGTAGATCACAATATAATTAGAATATTATGTTATTTTGTTTTATTCGCTTAAACTTTATTTTAGATAAGTTTAAGAAAAAAAACTCAAAGTTCAATCCAAAATAAAAGTTCAAGTTTTATTTTTTTAAGCATCATTTTTAAACACACTTCTTTGATGCTTAATAATGTCTGATAATTTAAGAAGTGAAATTATTAGACTTATTCAAAATAAAAGAAACCAGGCGAGCTGAGATAAATTGTCGTCAAAATGAAAGAGATGAATCAAGGCAAATTGAGATAAATTGTAATCAAAATAAAAGAAATCAGGCTTGGCAAGAACTTAATGGGTATAATATGCATCACATAGCAAATTTAGTTATTTTATCTCTTTAGTTCTAATCAGGTGCTCTACTAACTATCATGTTTACTTTGTTTACTGTTAAAATATGGTTTTAACTTAGTAAACTTTAATTATTTAAAATTTGTTAAGTTGATCATTAGCTAAAAGTTTTAATAGAAATTAGTTGTCACAATGTAAGAATAATTTTACTTTTTTGATCTAATCGCAAAAATTTTTTTGTAATTCTTACAGATTTTGACTTCACGGTTTGTAAATTTGGGACCCTAATATCAATGAAATACCCTATGGAAACCCTTTTAAGGGGGATAGCACATGCCAACGGGAGTCTATATTGAGTTGTTTTGAAATCGGGGATTAACATCAAAAAGAATTATGAGCCAAATTAAGCTGCCTATTAATGGTACTAAACTTGCTCTCTTAATTTTTTTTATAAAATAAAGATTGTAGCCCATGAAACGTAAAATGTTTATTATTTTATTCATTTTTTTTGAAATAATTCTTTAATGAGCGTTTTGATCAGTGCAAGCGTAAAATTAAGCGTAAAATTTCGTAAAATTTCGAAAAGAGTAAACAAATATATTCTGGGAAAAGGCAGTACACTTTTTTAAAGATAGTTTTTGAAGGAAAATATATTTTTTTGTGAACAAATATTTAAGATTTTGAAGATGCCTACATTTGCCAAAAACCATGAAGAATGTAGAAAGTCTGTTTGTGTTATCTGTATGAAGAAAGGTGATCAAGAATTGACTGAAAACTTCAAAGCTAAAATTCTTCAACCAATTCAGAAAGAAATCAACTTCAATGATGACAGAGTACTATTGGCGACCTGCATCTCCTGCAGATCTCACATTAGAAAGCTGTGTGATGGTAAAACAAATGTTGTGCCTCAGATTTATGACTTTGAATCAATTTCGATCAAGCCTCTTACTCGTTTTTCTACAGTCTGTGAGTGCTTGATTTGTAAGATTGCCAAACTCAAGGGAAAAGAAAGGCATCCATTATGCAAGGTTCAAGATTCAGCATCAAAAGTTCCCCAACAATCTTCGCGAAATGCAGAAAATCATTGTACTAAGTGCTTGTTATTGGTCGTGGGCTTCCTCACTACTGCACTCCTGGAACACGCCATGAAAGTTTGAGAAGAATGGCTGCCTCTGATCCCATTGGGGCAGAGCAAGTTGCAGCAACAGTTTTGGCATCAAAAAGTGCATCTCCTCATGGCACCATTAGATTCAGTCAACCTTGTGTAAAGTTATTGCCATTGAGAAAAGGTAATAGTGCTTTTGAACTTTAAATGGTTAAATTAAAATATAAATATTATCTATTTATTTTTCAAAAACTCACTTAATTTAAAAATAAAATTTTCTCTGCAAATATATTTGCAGAGAAAATTTTATTTTTAAATTAAGTAAATTTCTGAAAAATATTAATATTTTTTGAAGGTCATGAACTATTTTTTAAATGCAATTTTTATAATTAGAACCTTCATCAGCACAGCAACTTTTCAAAGAGCCTCTCACAACGCAGAATATGGTTCAAATTCAGCAGAATATAGGACTTTCAAACAATGGGATGAGGAAACTTGGATCGGTACTAAATCAAATCAGTCCTATCAGATTGGTGGAGCCAAGTTTTCAGCAAAAATTTGCTCAAGCAGGCCAAAAACTTTGTGATCACTTCACTGTGAGCAGCATCACTCTTGCTGAAAACAATCAAATATCCCAAGTTGTGCATTGTCAATACCTCAGTAGTCTTAGTGATGTCTTCTTAGCATCAAAAAAGATGACAGATTCTGCAATTTTGAAACTAGGGATTGATGGTGGAGGATCTTTTCTGAAAGTCAGCTTCACACACATCATTGTGGATGAAGGTGAGACACCGCTACATAGCCCACTGCAGAAAACAATCAAATTGATGTCTCCACAAACAACTAAATCAACATGTGTCAAGCAGCAACTACTGGTAGCAATTGCACAAAACACTCCAGAGAACTACCATAATGTGAAGGCTATTTTTGACATCATCCAAGTACAAGAGAAATGTCAGATGGATTCTCTGGTCATATCATGTGACCTAAAGTTGGCAAATATTCTGTGTGGCATTCAATCCCATAGCAGCAAACACCCATGTTGTTGGTGTGATGTTTCGTCTTTAAACCTCCAAAACTGTGGAAGTCCTCGAACTTTTGGCGAGATTAGGAGACAACATTTTGAATTCATCAACGCAGGAGGAGATACAAGAAAATCAAAGGAGTTCAAAAATATCATTCACGTACCATTGGTTAATTTTCCTGATCACAAGCTTGTGCTAGAAGCTATCCCTCCAATGGAGCTCCATTTGTTACTTGGAGTAGTAAACCATTTGTATAAAAATCTTTGCAAAATTTGGCCAGGGGCCGAGAAATGGCCAGCTTCACTTCGTATTCCTATTCAGCCCTACCATGGTGGACATTTCAATGGGAATGACTGCATGAAGCTCTTGAGAGGTTTAGACAAGTTGCAATTGGTCACAGGATACAACAATTTTAGTCAAGCTCATGACTTCATGCAACCACTTGCACTATTTAAGGATGTGGTCATTTCTTGCTTTGGCAATAATTTGGATCCTGATTATGAATCGAAGATCTCCAAGTTCAAACAAAGCTACATCCGCCTACCCATTTCAGTTATTCCAAAAGTACATGCAGTGTTTTACCATGTACCTCAGTTCATCAAAATCAAGAAAACAGGATTGGGTCTCTTCAGTGAGCAGGCAACAGAAGCTCTGCACTCCAATTTCAAAGTTCATTGGGAGAGATACAAACGAGATTCCTCACATCTAGACTATGCCAGCCAACTCCTGAAGTGTGTGATCAAATACAACAGCAAGTAAATCTAGATCTAAAGAACAGTGTTAAAAAAATCCTAAGAATACTCTTAACAGATTTGTGATATTTTAGTGCCTTTATTTTGTTCCAGATGATTCGTCTCTAGAGAGCATTATAATTTTTAATGGAATTATAGAAATTGTTGTTTATCTTCTAAATGCGATCATTACGAAAATAAATGAATAAAACAAAAAAGCTCCCAATTTATGTTTTTAACATTTTTTGTTTTATGATAAAAAACCAGAAATGTATTTTTGTACTACAAATAGGCTGCCAAATGTTGCTTAAAATTCTTATTTTCTTCAAAACTTCAAGGTAAAAAATCTCCATTGGATGTTAATGCAGGATTTCAAAATCACTCTGTATGGCCATCCATTGTTATGTACTATCCCCCTTAAAAGGGTTTTCATAGGGTATTTCATTGATATTAAGGTCCCAAATTTACAAACCGTGACTTCTTTTACCAATGCTCTAGAAAAAGCATCAGCAACAGGTAACATGGTTTGTAGAGAAAATCGTTTTAATGTTTTTACTTTTTTTTTTCATGTGATTTTTTTGTTTTAGACATTTTACAATGCTTTTTCAGTTTATTGCAGATCAAATAGAGGGTCCACATCTCATTAAGGATATAAGATGTGGGCAATAACTTAAGGCAAAATCTCCGAGGTCCGCACCCCTTCCTTTTTTTTTTTATTGTGTTGATCTTGTAGAAAGTAAAGTATGAGGAGAGAGAGTGGTGGGAAAAAAAAAACGCTACATCTATAATTAGTATACCTTCAGTTGGTTAATCTACCAATTTGTAATTGATAATGCAAACTTAGTTAAATTTTTTTGTAATTACATACTTTTCTTTATATATTTTGTTTTATTATTATGTATAAATATATTGATTTCCAGTTAATACATGTAGTGTATTTTTTTATTCGATTACTTTTTAGATTAATCAGATGACGTCTTTGTTCAATATAGACATGCAGTTAAAAACTATTAAAAATTGTTATTTTTTTAATAAAAGTGTAAAAAATCTTTAATTTTAAAAAGCTATTAGGCATTTCTTTTGAAACCGTAATCCTTCATCATTTGTATTTTATCTGAACGAAAGTCTTTGACGTAAACATCAAATTATGTATTTTATTAAAAATTTTATTAAATGTTACATTTTTTTTTACTTGAAAATTTTATTAGGGCGATACTTTCTTAATTTTAATTTATATGAAATTTTATAAAGCAATTAATGCCATTTTATAAAGTTTTACTAAGGTTTTTTTATAATTACATATAAATATATATTATATACTTTTATGAACTTCGTGAAATAAAAACTGGTATGAATTTTGTTGGTGACCTGTGTGAAGAAAAAATAAAGATGCACGAAAAAAAAGTTAAAAAAGTAAGTGATAAGTTGTTTAATATTAAAAAAATACAATGGAAAATTTTGTCAGATAATAGTGAGTTAAAGTTAAAAATTGTTGACATAGAGGATAGGAATCGAAAGTGCAATTTACGAATTGACGGTCTTAAAGAAACTATTGATGAAAAAGAGTGGGAATCTACGTAGGAAAAAATTAAAAAATTTTTCCATGAGAAACTCGGGATTAAACAGAATATTAAAATTGAATTGCAAGGCCTCCTCATTCAACATAGGTATAAACATACTTAAGTTTGGAGTTTGCACAATGCGTGAAAGTGTCCTATCTGAAACATCAAAAAATCCTATTGGTGCCCCAAGTATAAAGGTTATTCATATAGCACTGATTAGTATAGTCAATTTACATAATGCGGATCACTTAATTTTTTTTTACGATTATCGATAGAGTAATAAATTAGTAAACAATTTTTTTAGTTACTATTTGCTTAATAATAAAAGTTAAACCAAAATTAGGGCAATAGATACATTTCTTATCAAGATGTCGAAAGTTTTGAGTGCTTTTATATGAGAGCTAAAATTCTAAATGGTTTAGAAGAAATCCATTATACTCGGAAACACAAAAGATATGAGCCTTTTATTAGTCAATTTCAGCACATCATAATTAACGAAAAATATTTCCATAAAAAATTGCATGATTTGACAACATTGCTAAAAAAGCATGTATGGGGTGGTGACGAAAGAACTAAATTTATAAAACGCTGTTCCCAATATGAATGGCAAAAATTGGATCCTTTCATACAAAAAGAACACGCGCTTAATGGTTGCAGCTTATGTAAAAAAGATAAAAATCCATAGAACGTTTTTCCAAGTTCTGTGATTCATCGGCCAAAAAAGTCAAACTCACCACTTAGCAATATAGCCAACATTTTCACAACCGACTCTCAAGCGCGGAATAATATTTTATCTTTCAAGAATTCAAACGTTGCTCCTCTGTCTTCTTCAAAAGTTGATATTCCTTTTACTAAAAACTCACTTCCATACATGAAAGAAACATGAAAATCGGTTTTGGAAAACATCAACACATCTTGGAATTCTTTATATGATACGCCGTTTTTAAAGGTTTTGTCAAAATTACCCTCAACCAATTTAGTAGAAAAGTTATATCTGCAGATAAAAAAAAAAAAAACTTCGAAAATCCCACAGGAAGTTAAAGGCGACAATTGAAAATCATTGGGAAAAATATAGCAAAGATACCAATACATTGTTTGGTGTTCGTCAGTCAAAATCAGCTTATTTAAACATTCGCTCAAGCCTTCACTTTGAATCTAAAAAAGATGCTGTTAAACGAACAACATGCTTTACAAGTAAGTTTGATGCAATATAAATTGGATATATTGATGCAATGATATATTTATGATACAAAATTTTATTTGTTTTGTTACTTTTAATCATTGTGTGATTATTATTGGTGAGATTTAAGTAACATTTTCTCTTTACGTTATTTTATTTTTACTATATTTGAAAATTATCCCATATTATTTGTCTGATTTCAATTGAGTTCACAATTTAGGCAATGCTATTGGTCAAAAGAGAAAAAGACATTCACCGAACCCTAACAACATTGATTTCAATAAAGTTGAAATGTTAAATGAAGTACAGAAAATGAAAAAAGGCTCAGAAGTATAACAAATATTTTTTTTTTTAAATTTAAAATAAAAAATTTAAATAAAAATAATGAAATAAAGAGATTACTAAAAATCTGTATTCTATATAAAAAATAAAACTAAGTATATATGAAATTAAAAGCATTAACTATTTTAGATTAATCTCTCGGCTCTTGCAAAGAAATACAAAATTGATGGATTAAACGGTAATATGGTTGTCCGTGAGTTCTTGGAACAAAATAATGTTGATATAACCGCCTTTAGTAGAACTAAACTTAATAAAACTAGAGTAAGAAGAAAACTCAATAAACTATCAGGTATACTTGTAAAATAAATATCAGGTAAACATAATAAGTAAATTTAGGTTTGAAAAATATTTTGTGTGCTATTTTATGTGCTAAAATTGAGCATTAGCTCGGGGCTTAGTGATATAATTAATTTTGTCTTCTTCTAGCCCGGGTCATAGAATTATTTTGGACATAAATTATAAATAAACAAAATAAAAAATAAATAAAAGTCTTTATATTTTTTGTGCTTTAGAATATAATGAATTTTTCAAACTTTTTGAAACTTTTAGCTCTCAAATAAAAACAATCAGGAGCTTTGATAAATCTTTATAAAAGAATATTTTTTATACATTTTCATTATCTATATTAAGGAAAATAGAACCAAAGAAAGTTTTTCACAAATTCATTGTTTAAGAGTTAGAGGTAAAGTTTTGATTGATCAACACAACACTAAGTAGTTAGGATATAACTCAGTACACTTGTATTTTTAATAACTAAGTTCAGTTGAGGATTTTCATTGACGGCAATACTAGAGTTGGTTACTAGTTATCTTAGTTATTGTTTTTAATAACTAACCAGTCCTCCCTAGATAATATGACAGCCATCTTCTATTTGCTTTGGTCATATCATTTACGTTTATAATGTAAAACCTTATCTTGATAATGACGAATAAATACATAATTTTGATTTTACAAATTATTGATTTTTATTAAGAAATACTTTTTTTTATGTAGGCAGTGGAATATCTGTGCCAATCTCACGTTCATTTAAAAAGATTAAAGAAGATTTAAATCAAAATATCACTTCTGGAAAATACATATTAGGAACATTGATTGAACCTAAAAAATATTCATCAATTTCTACAGACAAACATGGAAAAATAGAAATTTCCAAATCTTCTATTTCAGGTAGAAAGATTTCATGAATTACGCAAAAAGATTTTTGAAAATCATATATCGCAAAAAATTATTCGAGAAAATCGGACAGGAATATATAGCAGAAATTTGATAATTTGGTCAGATCATGCTTTAATTTTAAACTCGGGTCACTTATTACTCACTGTCAAACCAATTTATGATGATGAACTGTACTATAATGATAAAGAAATGTTTGACAAAACTGGTAACCATTACAATGTCCAAGAGTCGGTGGAAACTCCTCATTTGTACATATTTGGATGCATAAATGACACAATTGCAGGGAAACTGTCTTATGTAGAATCTAGATTAGAAGATATTAAAGATTTGCATAAAATTAACGGAAAAGAAATTCATGACGTCTTAGGATTTTTTCACGGTATTAATTCTAAAATGTAGTCACTTTTTACATGACGGAAAGCAAAATGGCGAGGAGAGAGAATGGGGGAATTTTATTCAAGATGTAGAATCTTGGATGAAATTGGAACTTGGCAGTTTTTTTAAAATTAAGATTTTATTTTTACTGCATTTTTTATGTATATCCACAAAAATGAAGAATTATGATTTTTTCAGAGATATTTTGCTTAATTTATCTTTTTCAGGGAAAAAAATTCGGGTAAAGATAAATATGAAAAACAGTACTTAAAATTCAACCCTGTTATCAGTTGTACTTTAATGTAAATTTAGACATGAAATGTTGAAAAAAGTTTTTTTTATTTAGGTGATCATCCAGAAATCCAATTAGAAGCTGGAAATCTTCATGGTGGTTATTATCCATGCTTATGTGGGTGTAATGTTAATCAATTTACATATTTACCAATTGTTTATTCACATGACATCATATCATTAGAAGATAGAAGGAGAAAAGTAATGTAACATCACTTTTAATTAAGGTTCTCACGCACCCAGTTTTGTGTATTATACACATTTCGATATAAAAATAAGTTAATTTTTCTTTTAAAAACAAGTTAATTTTTCTATAAAAATAAGTTAATTTTTACTATAAAATTTAGGCAAAATAATTACATTTTAAACATATCTGATCTCACGAGAGACACAAAACCACAATCATGACCTCAGTCACGAAAATATGCTTATAAGTCCCCTATGTATAATTTATGATTTATGGAACTTTCAGTTTAGGGGCCCATACTGGTCAAACGGTATCAGATTCAAGGGCAATTTTAGAAACAAAACGAGGAAAAGGAGAAGGGGGGTTGAATTCTTAAAAAGTTCTTATTACCTTCTAAAAATTTTTAAAAAAATGTCCTCAAAACTTAAAATCTACCCAGTGGAATGTGTAAAATATCAACTATATTCCTAAAAAAAAGTCAGCAAATTAAATATGAATTTCTTAAATGGAGGTTTTTTTTCCAATTTCAAGGGTATGTGTGTGTGGGGAAGTATGACCTCCCCACACACACCCTTGAAACCGCCCCCAATGGGATAAGGTACTACTTACATATTACTTCCATTACTTACATATATGAAATAAATAATAAATAAAAAAAAAATCACTTCATCACTTTAAACTATTTATACATTTGAAATTACATTACACTATTGTCTTGAGTTAAACAATATATGCTTTATTTGGTTAAAATGCGCTTTTCGTTTCAAAATATTTCAATATTTTTATATATCCCTAACTTTAAATTTTAGGTTGTTATTGGTCCTGCAGGCAGAACAGCAAAAGCAATAGCTCCATTTCAAAACCTTAGCATTTCCGAACTTGAATTGGAAATATCCATTCGAGAATTAAATAAAAAGATTGGAGTGAAAAGAACAAAAGAACAATCTGAACAACTTCTGAAGCAAAATCTTTCTGGTGTTTCACGAACTCCAGCTCTTTGCTTTGGCAATGAGTTAAACACACTTGTTTTGTCAAATCTACACAACTATGAGGTCAGTCCTATAGAGCCACTCCACGACTGTAAAGGTCATATAAAAAATATTTGGGATGTTCTACCTGAAATACTGAACTTTTCAGAAAAAAAAGTACTCAACGATTGCCTTAAACTGTGTTTTGGTGAAAAGGACAATGTACGAGAAGCTGATTATAAGTTATCTACAACTGTTGTATACAATTCCTTAAAAGAGATCTGTAGAACAAATGTAAAACTATTTTTGATGTAAAACTATTTTAGATGTAAAACTATTTTTGCAGAGTATCATGGAATTAGTCAAATCTGCATATTTACCATCACAAAACAGGTCACCAAAGACAATCCTTCGATTATATAACTTAGCATTTCAACATATCCTTCTTTGCCGCTTAGTAATCGGAAGTAACCCTAATAAAATTACCAAGAGAAAAAAGCAACATTGTTTTTCATGATGGAGAAAGTGATCCCGATTATATGGATATAGGTCCAGATTTAATGAATTTTTACAAAAAAAATATACAGTCAATAAAATTAAATTTAAAAAGTTGTTGAGAAGCTTGTATTGCATAGAAGGTCAACTTGCCCCTTGATCAAGTAAATTGGTTAATGGATGTAAATAATGCTGAAGAACCTATTTCTATATACCATACTTGATTCAAATAAATTTTTGCAAATTAAATCTAAATATTACAAAAAAGAGTTTTTGATATTCATAAATTTGTACAGTAATTGTATTTATTTTACTTGCATAATTCAACAAAAAATATTTTCGAAGCAACTAAAAAGTTTACCTTAGAGGAAATACTTTATTTTTTTTATTTTTACTTTTACTCTTAAAATATATAAAATACTTCAATTTATGTAATCAAATTTATATATATAAATATATATATATATATATATATATATATATATATATATATATATATATATATATATATATATATATATATATATATATATATATATATATATATATATATATATATATATATATATATATATATAATAAAATGCAATGTGATATTACACTGATGATCCTATAGAAAAGTTGAAGAAAAAATATTAGATCAATATTTTTTACCAATTTATTAATGGTCAGTTTATTAAAAAATTTGAGCATTCTATTTGTAAAATATACTAACATTATAACATATATATATATATATATATATATATATATATATATATATATATATATATATATATATATATATATATATATATATATATATATATATATACACACATATATATATATATATATATATATATATATATATATATATATATATATATATATATATATATATATATATATATATATATATATATATATATATAAATTTAATTAATAAAATTTATTTATAAAGATTTTCATTATCAGATGTATACTTAATGTAGAATATTATTACAGGGTAATAATAAAATATAATATTATGTAGAAGTATTATAAAATAACATATACTATATATTCAATTCAATAATTATATTAGATTACATATTATTTATAACTATAAACTATTTATTATAATATACTATATTATGTATATAGACTTCCATAATCAAACTTATATCTTTTTATCGTTTATTACTGCTCTGTTCTTTAAGAACAATGTACACAAAAACACTGCTCAATGATTTTGTAGAACACACTAAAATACTATTTACATCCAATTTAAGCTATCTATAACCAATTAAAAATATCAAGATTTAATTTATGGGCAATGTATTTGTTATATTGTTCACATTGTATTGTTCACAATGTTCACATTGCAATGTTATAAATTCAAAATAGCGAGAGAAACTTTTGATTTTGGACTTTTAAGGTCAAAATACCATCGATATAATTTAAATTAGCGTTTTGGAATTCTCCCGCGAGATATGAACGATAAAAAGCCACGTCACCCGCACACAAACAAAAGAAACCCGAAATTTACGGAGACTGGCCTTAAACTACCTGAGCAGGCAAAAAAATAAGGAATTTTACTTAAATTTCAGCACTTATTTCACTAAAGCCAACATACTATATACCAATTAAAAGGTTTCCAAGTTAGCAAATATGTTTTGAGCAAATAATGAATATTCAATTATCATTTTAAAATTGGTTAACAAAATGGCGATTTTTAATAAGTTCAAAAGATTGCAAACAAACTAAGGCTTTTAACCCCTATAACATTTTTAGGTTACGTTACGTATTGTAACGTAAACGAGATTCGTTACGTTACGTGCAAAATGTCCGTTATTATTTACGTAACCGAGACGTAAAATTTTACGTAACGATACGTAACATTGTAACGTAACGTTACGTGCAAAACGTCTGTTATTTTTACGTAACCGAGACGTATCATTTACGTAACGATACGTAACATTGTAACGTAACGTTACGTGCAAAATGTCCGTTATTTTTACGTAACCGAGACGTAACATATAACGTATTGATACGTAACATTTTGACCTAATAATCACCTGCGGCGACTTTCAAATATTGCGCCATTTTAATTTACAAGTTGCAACCAATTGTTTGATTTATGCGTTTATTTTAAAAAGTGTTCCCGTAATCATATGAGATTAGTTTATTTTTTGTTAACATTCTTGACAAGACATACTCTTACAGCCTAAAGAATTTAGCTGGAAGGGTAAGCCTCATATAAAGCGAGAAGTGGACAAACACTGGTAAAATGAAAAATTTAGCAAATAAAGAACAATCAAACTAAAAATAAAACATTTTCTATAATCACTTGATACTAACCGTAATCTTACCGTTAAACATATTGTTAGAATAATGAAAAGTTTATATCTGACAAACTTGACATTATATACACATTTTTGCTTGTGGGGTAATAAAAACACAAGTAGTGTTAAGCTAATTAAATAAAAAAATTTGTAAAAAAAATTGAAGTTAACGTTAATACTATTTCACCGTAACATGAAAATTTTTAGAAAAAAAAAAAAATTAGAATAGCAAATATAATTGTTTTTAGATTTTACATATAAAACTTGTGTGAAATAGAGTTTGCAAACAAAAGGGGTCGTTCGCACCTAACAAACCTCCCCCTCCCTTTCCTCATATACATTTTTTATTTCATATAAAGTTTAATGATAACGTTCAGAAAAATGCCTTTAATTCAGAAGTTTATTATAAGAAAAAAAATTAATAACATAGTAATATAATCTGTGTACATTTTTCATCTAATCACTGTCTTTGGTAAACGAAATATCATCGTTGCAAATATCATCAAAGGCGTTATTGTCAGAATTATCATTACCAATAGATTCAGGTGCAATATTAGCCTTCTTTGGTGCCCGACTAGGTGTACCTATTAGTCTGGCTTCTGCCTTGACTGCTGCGCGTTTTGCATGCATTGGCATTCGTTTTAATTGCTCCCCGAGCGACTCTGCCACCTTATGGGCGTTAATGCATTTTTGCAATCTTAGCTGCAGAGAATCTATAAAATAATATCTACATCTTTACAAAAATGGAATTGATAAAAAAAAAAATTATGTATCCAATTATACAATTATTGAAATTAAATTACTACAACAGTATAACTTTTTTTTGACAAAATAAATAAAAAATACAGCATGGCAAGGGGATAGATATAGAAATCAATCACTTTTACCTATTATGATAGGAAGAATACTTGGGCTAATACTCCTTTTCCCTCTTTTCCCATCCCGGCTATATAAAGACCAAACTGAGCTGGGTGCCAGGGCCAACAACATATTAGAAAGCTTGCCAGAGTGATTTTGTGATGCAAGTGTGACATTGGACAAAGATGCAATCTTTAATTTAAATACATAGGCACAATAACAGTTTAAATTGGAAATAGAAAAAACTAACTGCATACATTTAGCTAAAACTATAGCTTTAAGTAAAGATTATTTTAAATTAAAGTTACGCAGGACTGACGTTCACAATCATTTAGGTCCAGCCAATAAATCAGGTGACTATCCAGCTCGTCTGCTGTTGTGCTGAATTTTAAAGCTTCCACCGGCGCATTAACAGCAGATTTGGTGTTGCTTAGACCAACCACCATGCCCATTAAGGTTTTTTGGGTGTCCTCAATCCAAATGAGACTGGTGAATATTTCTTGAAACCACGCTACAATAAACAAATAAAATCATATTAAATTTAGGGACTACTTCAGTATAAAAATAACAGATTAGGAAAAAAACATTGTGGTTAATGCTAACTAACCACTGTTGTGGTTAATGCTAACTAACAAATTATCATAAAAACTTACAACGCATAGCTGTATTTGAAATTGGGAAATCGGATTTCTCAATTTCATTATCCTTTGAACTTGGAGTCTTTTGCCGAGCTTTAAAGCAAGTATGAACTGATGCAGATAATCCAAAATATTCGGATGAAGTTTTAATTAGTGGCAGTGTTGGACGAGGTGGACTTTGAGATAAAAACAAAGAAGAAGGTTGTGAAGATGTTGAATATAATGGTGATGGTGCAGTTGGAAATAAATGAAGAAGTTGCGTATTCAGTGTTGTTGGTGGAGTTGGTGGTGATGCTAAGTCAACTTCGTTTTCTTTGTGAGTCAGTTTTGACTTTTTTTTGTCATTTGTTTCGTATTCCTCGTCCGATAGGTACAGTGGTCGTCTGTGAGTTAGTCCATTTTCATAGTCCGTCGAAAGTAATTTTCCAGTCTCTAAGTATTTTTTGCAGTGTTTATAAATATTTTTGAGAAATTCTAGAAAAAAACGTTAATCAGAATTAAAAACAAAACTATTTGGTATTAAAAAAGTTCATCTAATCTTAATTTATCTAGCAAATCATCCTACCAATCTATCAGTCAAGCATTATTGTCTGCTAGATTTTAAGTTTTTTTAAAGTTTCCTAATTACTATGCACACTTACCATGTTTGTATAAAACTTTGCATGGAATAGTTTCCCATGTAGTTAGTGCTGGCAATTTATTCTTCAGCATATATCGTGTTTTTGTATACTTAAAATCGGGAAATGCAACCATGTGGAAGCCGTTTTGGTCAGCTTCATCCGACTCTAGCCACGAATGTAAAGCTACGGCTATAGAACTGTCAGCAAACTCAATTAAAAAATACATCTATAATAAATTTACCATTGTTAAATAAGTAATATTTTGTATGATATATAAAAAATTACCATTTTTAAATTTTCATATTTAATAGTTAAATGTAAAAATAGTAACCGGAATTACAGCACCTAAATAAAGCATAAATAAATATATAAAAAACAAATTGTTAGCAAAACTAATATTATTAAAATAATATAATATTATTAAGATAATCTAATTTAACTATTACAAGTATGCAAATTTGGAGCAAAATTATTTTTGCAGGAAAATAATTTACAATAAACTAAATTAATAGGAACTTTAGTTAAAGATTTGAAAAAATGTATTCCTTTATAAATATCCAACGCAGAGGATTTTAGGGAATAATCATACGCATCAGTTTGTTCTAATAAGTAACATGCCTTCAACCATATATCATCATTTTGATTGGTATTATAAATACTACGTATCTTGACAATCTTTTTGTCTAAAAGCATAACATAACAATTTGGTTTTTTA